TAAGCCACAATACAATGAGTAAACAAATTATGTGTATTATTTAAAATACAAGTATTTCTATTAGATAAGTTCCTGGAAGCACAGCGTCTAAATCAAAGAGTGCATATACTTTTAAATGTTTACATTTTGCTGGATTGTCCTCCATATTGTACCAATTATCACCATTGTACCAACAGCATGTTCTCACTGTGTCTGTCACATTTTGGCAAATATTTCAATATTTCAAACTTTTTCATTATTATTATGCCTGTTACAGTGTTGTGAGATGCTGTCCTCCCCGACTGCCATCAGAACAGCTTTGATTACCCACAAGAGGCCCTCACAAAAATTAGTTCCACTAACATTCTTTAGCGGAAGATGGGGAGGGCTAAAAGGACTGACAAGATACATGAAGACATAAATGAGAGGCTCACAAGGCAGAGAAAGATTGATGAGCACCCTTGCCCTTCTCAGGATATAGAAGTAGTTCATTGCTGGAGGAGGAGGAGGCTCTTGGAGCTGCCTGTAAATTGCCCATGCTCCTGTAACTAACCTCCAAGTAAACTCATTGGGTTACTTAAGCTAGACTTGGGTGGAATCATTTCTTTCATCTGTCATCTTTCTGGCACCTTATCTAAAGTGTATATGCCTCACCAGGAAAATTCATGTAAATATGGTGCCTTGTGATTAGCGATCTTTGATGTTACAATTATAACTAATTTGGAGAGCCATGAACCACATTCATATATACAGTAAACTAAATAAATGTATGTGTTCTGACTGCCCTGCCAATCAGCTATTCCTCCATCTCATTTCCTTTCTCTGGGACAGAATAGCACTGAAATCAAACTAATCGATAACCCTGAAATGGCCTCTAACTGTTCAAATAAAGGGAAGAGTTAGGTATATCTCTTATAATCAAGTGCCAGAAATGATTAAGTTAATGAGAAAGTTAAGTTTAAAGCTATGCCAAACTGAAAGTTAGGCTACTTATGCTAATCAGTTAGTCTGGTTGTGAATACAAAGGAAAAGTTCTTGAAGTAAATTTAAAGTGCCACTCCAGTGAACACACAAATGATGAGAAAGTGAACTGTTTAGTGGTCTGCACAGACTATACCAGCCATAGTATTTCTTAGCCAAAGTCTAATCCTGAACCAGGCCCCTATCTCTCTTCAATTCTATAAAGGCAGAAGTAAAGAAGCGACAAGTTACCCAGAAGATCAACCAAAGATCATTAAGGAAGGTACTCACATACTAAACCATAGGTTTTTCAAGGGAGATTTGGGTTTCTCAACAGTCCTCTGTTGGAAGATGCCATTTAGGACTTTCACAGCTAGAGAGAAGTCAGTCCTGACTTCAAAAAACAGACTCACTCTCTTATTAGGGGCTAATGTAGCTGATGACTTAAGTTGAAGCCAGTGTTCATTTATCATTCTGAAAATCCTAGGGCTTTTAAGTCAATCTGCTCTGCCTATGCTGTGGAAATAGAGCAAGCCTGGATGACAGCACCTCTGACTACAACACGGCTTATTGACCATTTTAATCCTGCTATTGAGACCTACTGCTCAGAAAAAAAGGATACTATGAAAATATTACTGCTAAGCTGGGCACAGTAGTATGCTCCTGTTGTCCCAGATACTACTTGGAAGGCTGAGGCAGGAAGATTGCTTGAGCCCAGGAGCTTGAGAACAGCCTGAGCAACAGAGTTGACATTCCATCTTTATATAAATTATATAGTATACATATAAATATATATTCTACTGTTCATTGACAACATACCTAGTCACTCAAAAACTCTGATGGAGACGTACAATGAGATTAATGTTTTTGTCATGTCTGTTAAGGAAGTATTCATTCTACACTCCATGGATCAAGGAGTCAACTTTTAAGTTTGATTATTAAAGAAATGCACACCACAGATCTATAGCATCCATAGTGATTCCTCTGATAGACCTGGGAAATTACATCGGAAACCCTTTTGAAAGAATTCTAGACGCTCTCAAAACACATGGTTTATGGGAGGAAATCAAAATATCGATGTTAACAGAAGTCTGGAGAAGTTGATCTGAACCCTCAGATGACTTTGAGGGGTTCAAAAGTTCATGGAGGAAGTAAGGGAGGTTGTAGCTGAATTATTGAAGTCTCATGACAAAAAAATCTGTGGGTGATGAGTAGCTTCTTTAAAAAATTTTTTAAATTTATTTTATGTGTATGAGTGTTTTGTCCTCATGTACGTAAGTGCAACTCATGAATGCAATGCCCACAGAGGCCAGAAGAGGGTGTGAGTCCTCTGGAACTGGAGTTACGGATGATTGTTAGTTGCTATGTTGGTGCTGGGAACTGAACCCAGGTCCTTTGCAAAAGCAGCCAGTGCTCTCAATTGCTGAATCATCTCTCCAGCCCCAACGAGTGGCTTCTTGAGATGGAATCTACTGGTGAAGATGTGGTGAATGCTGCTGAAATAACAACAAAAGACTTAGTTGATAAGGCAGATGCAGAGTTTGAGATGAATGACTCCACTGAAAGAAGTGCTAAGTTGGTACAGTACTACTAAGCGATATTAAATGGTACAGAGAAATCTTTCCCAAAAGGAAAAATCAGTTGGTATAGTAAATTTCAATGATGTTAAAAAAAAAAAAAATCACCACAGCCTCAACCTTCAACAACTACCACCTCACCTAATCAGCAGTAGTCATTGCATACCTTCCAGCCTTCCACCAGCAAAACAATTACACCTTGCTGAAGGCTCAGATGATTAGCATTTTTTAGCAAGTGTATTTTTAAATTAAAATCTGTACAATTCTCTAGACATAAGCCATTGCACACTTAATTGATATGGCTTTTAGATGGATTTGGTGGCATATATCTGTAATCCCAGAATTTAGGAAGTGGAGGGAAGAGAATAAGGAGTTCCTGCCTCAAAAAACAGCAACAAAATAACTTTTATATGCACCAGGAAACTAAAGGAATGACATGGCTTGCTTTACTGTGGTGGCTGGGAATTGAATCCACAATAACTCTAAGTTATGCCTGATCAAAACTGAGTTTGGGCAATATTCTCAAAAGAGAATTCCAAATGCCAAAATCTAGAATGTTGAAATCCTGAACTATCACAATCCCTAAACTATAATTCTGGAATGATAATATTAAAAATGTATTTGGGCTGGGTATGTAGCTCAGTGACAGATTGCTTAGGGGCCCTGGCTTCAATCTCCGGCACCATAAACAACATTTTTAAAAATTAAAATACCAGAAAAAGACATGGCAAAATGTTAACACTTGCTAATGTTGGCTTTTTAAATGCCTTTTTAGCTTTTCTTAGTGTTATATACAAATGGATCAATAATGGTAAAATAAGGCATAGAGAAGGTACTAACTTTTCATGATAAATACTGGATCTAAACAGATGTCTGAAAGTTTTACCACAGAAAAAGGCAAAATGTAATTAAGACAATTTTTAAAAATAGTCACCTGAAAAAAAAAGGCAAAACTTAAGTGGTAAATGAAAAAGACAAAATGATAAAGAGGGAATGGATCTTATTTAACAAAAGCCGTTCCACAGGAGAAAACTTTCAGACATATTTTAAAGTCCTTTACACAGTCCACCTGTTGTTGTTAAAGGCTATAAAAATAATAAAAATTTAAAGGGATATTGAAAAAAGTGAAGAGTAAAAGAAAAGATTTTACTTCAAGTATATATTACACAAAACTTGTTTGTTGGGATAGAACAAAATACAATATTATGCTTCACATATATACATTTAACATTACTTCAGTCACTAGAACAAGTTTTGTTTTTTTTTTCATGATAAAATCTATAATAAAAACCTCTTCCTATTTTTCAACCAGTCTCATGTTTGCAGTTTTTAACCTTTAGACTGGTTGATCTCAGTACCCTTCTAAGGTTATCATGATTTGCCTAGAGATTATAATTGCCGGTAATTAGAACAGTGCCTTGCTCATAACTGTTTCCAATGGCTACATGCACAACCATTTTGCATTATTAAAATAAATACAAAAAGTTCAAAGAAAACTGGCATGTTATGCAAGGTAACAAATATGATTTCAAATTTATTATACAAAAATTATACCTACCATCAGGAGATGTGTACTTGACCAATAAACATAATTAATTCTCACTCAGGTATCTGTGGCTACTACATAAATATTGATGTGAAGATGATTAAAGTAGTATCACTTTACAGCATACTGCTTGGGCCAGAATCAAATATATCAATACAGAAATACTTAGAACCCAAACCACAGAGATAACGTCATCTTCCCCACAAGCTACTTCAGTGTATAACAGGTTTTATGTTCTGTGCATCGAGATCATGTATTAACATGAAAAATAATCCCACCCCGTCTGCTGGTAAGCACACAGAATCACGGGTAGGGTGCCAAGGAGGATTGTTTTCCCCTTCTCCATCTTTCTTAGTGCATCAGGTATCTGACCGCTGACATCGTCGCCCAGGTGAGGTCAGCGGTCAGACATTAGACCAGCTGGAAGATCTGCCTTTCCAGGAGCTGAATCCCTTTGGTGGGACTGAGGTCACCACCTGGGAGAGGAGCCTTCGTGCGCCGACACCCTCCTGAAGTGATGAATTCCGTGCCTCACCCCAAACCCAACAGTGGCTTAGGTTATGTTTGTACCATAGCGGTTGGCAAGTGGTTTCAGGACTACATCCTCCCGATACGCTGATAATGAAATAAGCGAACAGCACGGTACAAAGGCGGCCAGCAGGAGAGCACCCCGAGGCTGTGAGCATCTGCCTCCAGCTGGAGCGATCTCCACTTTCAAAAGGAATTCTCCCCCACCCCCACACTGACCTCGGGTCCCCACAGGGGACCGGGCCGCCTAAGCCACTCCCTGAGGATCAGTCCAGAGAGACCCGAGGCCCCGGGACCAGCGACCCCGCGCGCTCCCGCGCCCCCATCCGGGCGTCGCCATGGGAACCTGGGTTTGGCCTCCCGGCCGCCCACCACCCAAAGGAAACAGGGGGCCAGACCCGGACTCTCACCGCGCTGCGTAGCCGCGCCGTCTTCGCCTTTCGGCGAAGCTCTGCCGCGAGGTGCTCGTCCGCGCACCCGCGGCTGCAGCCGCCGCCGCGAGCCCGCGCTCTCCGCACCGGTGAGCTGAGGAGCCCGGCTCCGCGGCGGGAGATTTAAACCCGCGACCCTGCGCGCCTCTGCAGCTCCGCCCTGCGCGCCCCCGCCGTCGCGGCGCCCCCTAGGCCGAGCGGGGTGGTGAGCTGTCTACTCTGGCCGTCCGGCTCCAGGCCGCTACAAGGAAGTGAAGGACAGGCTCCCCGCCGGGCAGACCCCAGCTGGACCCGCCTGACCGAGGGAGAGTGTTAGAAGAGACTGGCCTTCACCAGCCTCTTGGCCCGCGTCCATCCTTGCTTTCCCTGCGTCGCTTCTGAGCTGGAACCTCTGTGCAGCGCCATCCCGGAGCAGTCATTTCCGAGCGGTCATCCCTAATCACCGAGGCAAGTGATGCACAGCTAAGTGTCCACACACTACCTTAAACTTTTTTTTTTTTAGACAGGGTCTCCCTGTAGCCCCAGCTGACCTGGAACTCACTATGTAGACCAGCCCGGCCTCGAACTCACAGAGATCCGCCTGCCTCTGCCTCCCGGGTGCTGGGATTAAAGGCGGGCGCCATCATGCCCGGCCTAAATTCATTTTAAAGGTTGACTGACAACCTTTAAACTGGTCGTTTTCCTTGAGATAGAATCTACTGTTGAAGATATGGTGAACGTTGTTGAAATGATTTAGAATATTACATAAACTTAGTTGATAAGGCAGATGCAGGGTTTGAGAGGACTGACTCCATTTTCAAAGAAGTGCTAAGTTGGTACCATGCTATTGTGATGACAACTATTTATTACTGGCCCAAATGTGCATGTACTAAACTATAGTGTGTGTGTGTGTGTGTGTGTGTGTGTGTGTGTGTGACCAATTTTCAAGAGTAAAAAACAGCCAGGATGATGGGGCATGCCTGTGATTCCAGCACTTGGGAGGGAAGCAGAGGCAGGTGGATCTCTGTGAGTTCTGGACCAGCCTGGTCTACTCAGAGTTCTAGGCCAGGGGGGAAAAAAGGTAAAAAAAAAAACCAAAACACAATTTTGGGGGCCTAGAGAAATGGCTCAGTGGTTAAGAACAAGCACCCACATCAGGCAGCTCACAACTACCTGTAACTCCAGCTCTGCCGGGATCTGACGCCTCTGGCTTGCACCGGAACCAGCACTCACATGCACACACCCACATGCAGACACATACACATATACATAATTTTAAAAAATTACAAATTCTGGGCCTAAAATTCTCAGGAAAGAATGAAAATTAGGCAAAAGTTAAATAAATAGGAAACAAACTCAAACCGTTTCCTTTTTGTAAAAAGTTGGCTTCAAAGTTCAACAACTTTCCTAAACATTTACAACATAATGGATTGTAAATGTGACACATAGGGTAGCAAGGAAAAAAGCTTACACTGCTAACTAGTCTATCAGATTATGAAAGATGTACAGAAGGTAGGGGATAGATAGAAAATTACAAAATAGTCACTGCTAAATAAAGTTTTATAATAGGAAAAGAGTGAGATACTTAATCTACAAACAGTTCATTTGGACCGATACTATCAAGATGAATTTAGATTCTTACACTGAGATATTTGGACTTCAAAGAATAGGTAAATGCTTGAAACTATATGCAAAATTTTGACTTTTTTTTTCCTTCCTCAAGGAAAGTGCCAAGAGGTCTCTTGCTTTCAAAGTCCAGGTGCTTATTAAAGGGAATTAGTATTCGGCAAACAGATGATTACTGTCTCCAGGAGGTCTTTCCTGGGCCATACTGATAGGAGAGGTCCCAGCTGAATTTGGAGCTTTTTCTAAACAGCCCCAAGCTCAGGGCCAGGAGCCTATTGCAGTCACTGCAATCCATTGACCAATTCCAGCCGGCAGCAAAGGGAGCAAAGTGAAAAAGGCTCAGTCTGGACCAAAACATGAAGAGACCCCCAGCACATTCAGAGCAGGGAGCAGGCTGCAGCCAGCTACAATGACCAGCATATTGGAGGCTGCTGTGGCTAAAGCGGGAAAGCTCCCCACAGAGATTGCTGCAGCAGCTGCATAGGAACATTCCCATTCCTAACAACCAAAAACTCGTGGGCAACCTTTTGATAGCTAGTACCTGTTTCTCTACCAGTGGCAGAAGCAACCCACCAACCTAATCAGGTTTAGAGAATACTCTAGGTGGACTCAGTGTTCTTCCCCTTCACCTCTAGGTTTGACAGCTCTTTCCTGACTGATCCCATTTTGCACCTTATTTTCATGTACGCATATTCAGCCAATCAGGGCCCTCCTGGCTCTATATACTAGAGCAGGCAAAGTCTGGATAGTTCTTATGAGATCTCAGTCTAGAGGAGGAAGAGAAGGAAGACTCAGGTGGGTCTGGCTGGCTCCTGGATGCTTTTTGGGAAAAGGAATACTACCTTCAAGATTCCCAGGAGAACAGACCCTTTGAAGATTCATGAGGCCAGAGGCTTCACCCTCAGGCTGGGAACTTACTCTGACACCCACTGCTCCGGCCCCCAGGACTTGACCTGTGGCTGCAGGAAGGGGGACTTGTTTCTGCCTCAGCCTCAAGACTCATGTTTTGACTGAAGATGGTAATTCATTCCTACAGCTGTCTCCAGTCTCCAAAACAACTCCAGACTTTCAACTCTAGTCTTCAAGACCTGCCAGAGACAGGCAGGTCACTGACTCTCATCAGACCTGATGTCTGAAGACTGGCTCTTCAAGGTCATGCTCTTAGCACCCCAAAGCCCTCAGAGAGCTTTCACTATAACACTTACCAACAATCTCAGCTGTGCTGTAACATTTGCAGCCTCTCTTAGTTGGCCCTCTGAAGCCTGCTGAGGAGAGCTGTAACATCTGTGTTCATTGGCATTCTGCTGCCATTTGAGGGTCCCAATTTCTACTTTCGTACTTGAATTGTTACTCCTGTGTGGCAAATAAAGTTCCCCTTGTTTCCCTTCACCTTCTGACCATCCACCCACTTCATTCTTGGAAGGAAGGCAAGACAAGAACACAAGGTAGGAGAATTGACTGTCTCAATACTAAGTTTGGGATTCCTCCTAAGGCTAGAGTATCTGGCCTCTTAACACCTTGCCCTGTAGCTGTTTCCTCGGAATTCAAACATTGCTTTCTGGAAAGGGGCTCATAAGACTCAAAAAGCTTATGAAAAATTACAAGATTTAAAAGACTCCTCAAGGTTATAAAAGCAGCAAGCAATTGCTGATGAAAGATTCTCTTCAGTGGAGCTGCCTACAAAATGGGCAGAAAGCTCTAGGGATGTAGTTTTTGGGAGCTGTCACCCATACTGGGTGGGCTTTTGGTGATGCAGCTGCCATTGAGTCACTAATCCCAATAAACTCATTGGCTCATTAAGCTAGACTTGGGTAGAATCCTTCCTTTGGTTTATTGTCAGAGGGTAGGATTAAACAGACATTTTTTCACTTGTCCTCAAGAAGTCACACAAAACACATACCAGCCCATCTTCCCCTTTAGGTGCTGAGCCGCTCCAACCATAAGTATTTCTGCAACCTTGACTCCTAGTACTGTGCCTAATACATACTTAGGTCCTGAATCAATACTTATTCTACCAATGAATGAACTCAAAGATGGCTAATGGCCAAGTGAAGGATCTAATATAAACTATCTAAACAGAACTGAACATCTTTCTCCCAAGGAACAAAAGACTTAAACATAGTAAGCAAAATAACTTTTAAGATGTGACCATGTGGGGCTCGAGACGGCTCAGTGGTTAAGAGCACTTAATTGCTCTTGCAGAGAATCTGGGTTCAGTTCCTAGCACCTACATGGTAGCTCACAAATGCCTATAACTCCAGTTTCAGGGGATCTGATGCCCTCTGCCCTGTCCTCTGTGGGTACTTGTACACATGATTCACATAAACTCATGCAGGCACAATACACCTTCTGTTTCGATCTCAAAAAGATGCTACCATAGAAAATATAGATACATGAGTTCCACAAAATGATATAAAAATAAGGTCCAGACTGTATTTAGAAATACAAAAGAAATGGAACTTTCTTGCCCTTAATGGTTTTTAATTTAGTACTTTCCACCATCTTTTTATTAGTGCTGTCATATCTTTTTATTATTTCTATTTTATGTGTATGCGTTTATTGCCTGCATATAGGTAAGTGTACCCATGTTGTGCAATGCCCGTGGAGGACAGAAGAGACTGTCAGATCTCCTAGAACTGGAGTTACACACAGTTGTTAGCTGCCATGTGGGTGCTGGGATTCAAACGCAGGTCTTCTGCAAGAACAGCCAGTGTTCTCGACTGCTGTGCTCTCTCTCCAGCTTCCAGTGCTGTCATGTCTTAAGAAGACTGCAAAATATAATTACAAACTGTACCTTAATCTCTAGAAATACATTCTCTACAAAAGTCATTATATTAAATAATGAACTTCTGGTTGAGTGTTAATACCAATAATGGCTTTTTTTAACTATGGAAAGAATTTGTATTCAATAAATGAGATATGGGAAATACAAAATGTGTTTCACTTCTTGCAAGTAAGCATTATATTTGCTGTGTGAGTTACATGATGTCAACTCATGGATATGTTAAAAATAGAGCATATACAACTACTGTATAAATTGTGAAGAGTTTGAGCTATGTTGTACGAATGTTGAAAGAGTGTGGTAAATAAATTGATAGTCTTTCAAGTCTTAAAAAAAAAAAAAAAGGAAAAGATGCTACCATGTCCCATGGTAATTTTAGGCAACACTTATTCCCGTGGTTGGAACTGAATTCAGGAGGCTAATCTATCTTTTTCAGCCCTACGTGAAATGGAGAAAGGCCCTTCAAAGACCACATCAGGCCGTCAGAGCAGTAGTGGACAGGCTTGCTTGCTTGCTTTTTTCACTGAATCATGGAAAATTACAGCAACATTTCCAAGCTACTATAAAATGTAGTACTTGCATTTAGTTTTTCTTCACAAATCACTAAGAAGTGTTGAAGTGGTGACACAAGTGTAGGAATGGTTTGGCAAACTGCTGAACCACTGATGATGATTTGGGCAGGATTCAGGTTTTACTCAGGATACTCATGTTTGTGGAATTAATTAATCTTTAACTGGGGGATTGATAAGGGGACGTTTAAGTGGCTTATATTAGTGTCCTAACAAATAAGACAGCAGAGTCTTAGTGTTGCATAAAACTTTTGTTTTTAGAAAATGAA